TCTACAAGAAACCCACTTCAGGCCTAAAGACACATGTAGACTGAAAATCAGAGGATGGAAAAATATATTCTATGCAAATGGGAAGCAAAAGAAAGCTGGAGTAGCAATCCTCATATCAACAAAATAGATCTTAAAATAAAATTACAAGAGATAAAGAAGGACACTATATAATGATCAAGGGATCAGTCCCAGAGGAAGACATAACAATTGCAATATCTATGCATACAACATAGGAGCACCTCGATACATAAGACAAACACTAACAGACATAAAAGTAGAAACTGACAATAACTCAATAAGAGTAGGAGACTTCAACACCCCACTGACACCAATGGGCAGTTCATCAAAACAGAAAATTAATAAGGAAACAAGAGTCTTAAATGATACATTAGATGAGATAGATCTCATTGATATCTTCAGGACATTCCATCCAAATGCAGAAGAATACACCTTCTTCTCAAGTGCACATTGAACATTCCCCAGGACAGAGCACATCTTGGGTCACAAATCAAGCCTCAAATTAAGAAAATTGAAATTGTATCAAGCATCTTCTCTGACCACAATACTACGAGACTAGATATAAAAATACAAGAAAAAAAAGTGTAAGAAACACATATACATGGAGACTAAACAATATGTTTCTAAATAACCAGCAGGTTACTGAAGAAATTAGAAGGGAAGTCAAAAAATTTCTAGAAACAAATGACAATGAAAATATGACAAATCAAAACCTGTGGGATGCAGTAAAAGCAGTTCTAAGAGGGAAGTTTATAGCAATACAATCCTACCTCAAGAAACAAGAAAAACATTGAATAGACAACCTAACTTTACACCTAAAACAACTGGAAAAAGAAGAACAGAAAAATCCAAATATTAGTAGAAGGGAAGAATCATAAAGATCCAAGCAGAAATAAGGGGAAAAGAAAGAAACAATAGTAAAGATTAATAAAACTAAAAGCTGGTTTTTTGAGAGGATAAACAAAACTGACAAACAGTTAGCCAGACTCATCAAGAAAAAAAGAGAGAAGAATCAAATCAACAAAATTAGAAATGAAAAAGGAGAGGTTACAACAGACAATGCAGAAATACAAGGGATTATAAAAGACTATTATGAACACCTATATGGCAATAAAATAGACAACATGGAAGAAATGGACAGATTGTTAGAAAAGTTCACTCTTCCAAGACTGAACCAAGAAAAAATAGAAATTATGAACAACCCAGTTACAAGCACTGAAATTGAAGCTGTGATCAAAACTCTCCCAAAAAACAAAAGTCCAGGACCAGATAGCTTCACAGGAGAATTCTGTCAAATATTTAGAGAAGAGCTAATGCCTATCCCTCTACAACTCTTTCAAAAAATTGCAAAGGAAGAAACACTTCCAAATTCCTTCCATGAGGCCACCATCACCCTGATACCAAAACCAGACAAAGACAACACACAAAAGAGAAGACTAGAGGCCAGCATCACTGATGAACAAGACGCAAACATCCTCAACAAAATGTCAGCAAACAGAGTTCAGCAAAACATCAAAAAGCTCATACACCACGATCAAGTTGGGTTTATTCCAGGCATGCCAAGTGTCTTCAATATATGCAAATCAATCAGTGTGATACACCGTATTAACAAACTGAAAGGTAAAAACCATATGATCATCTCGATACAGAAAAAGCCTTTGACAAAATTCAGCCCCAATTTATGACTAAAACTCTTCAAAAAATTGGCATAGAAGGAACCTACCTCACCATAGTAAAGGCCATATATGATAAGTCTATAGCAAACATTATTCTCAATGGTTAAAAGCTGAAAACATTCCCCATAAGATCAGAAACAAGACAAAGGTGTCCACTTTCATCACTATTGTTCTTAGTTCTGAAAGTCCTAGCTACAAGCAATCAGAGAAGAAAAAAAAATAAAAGGAATCCAGATCAGAAAAGAAGGAAAGTTCTCACTGTTTGCTGATGACATGATACTGTACATAGAAAACCCTAATGATAGTATCTGAAAATTACTAGAGCTAATCAGTGAATTTAGCAAATTCAAATTTGCAGGGTACAAAATCAATGCACAGAAATTACTTGCATTTCTATATACCAATAATGAAAACTCAGAAAGATACATTAAGGAATCAATCCCATCCACCATTGCAACAAAAATAATTAAATATCTAGGAATAAACCTACCTAAGGAGACAAAAGAACTGTACACAGAAAATTATAAGACACTATTGAATGAAATCAAAGATGACATAAACAGATGGAGAGATAATCCATGTTCCAGTGTAGGAAGAATCAATATTGTAAAAATGACTATACTACCAAATGCAATCTACAGATTCATTGCAATCCCTATGAAATTACCAATGGCATTTTTCATGGAACTAGAACAAAAAATTTCATGATTCATATTGAAACACAAAAGACCCCAAAACAGTCTTAAGAAAGAAAAATGGAGCTGGTGGAATCAACCTTCCTGACTCCAGATTATACACAAAGCTACAGTCATCAGGACAGTGTGGTACTGGGACTAAAACAGAAATACAGACCAATGGAACAAGATAGAAGTAAACCCAGGCACCTATGCATACCTCATTTTTGACAAAGGAAGCAGGAACATACAATGGCACAAAGACAGCCTCCTCAATAAATGGTGCTGGGCAAACTGAACAGCTACATATAAAAGAATGAAATTAGAACAGTTCCTAACACCATACACAAAGATAAACTCCAAATGGATTAAAGACTTAAATGTAAGACCAGAAACTAAAAATCTTAGAGGAAAACATAGGCAGAACAATTGACAACATAAATCAAAGCAAGTTCCTCTGTGACCCACCTTCTAGAGTAACAGAAATAAAAACAAAAGTAAACAAGTGAGACCTGATTAAACTTAAAAACTTTTGCACAGCAAAGGAAACTATAAGCAAGGTGAAAAGACAACCCTCAGAATGGGAGAAAATAATAGCAAATGAAACAGCTGACAAAGGATTAATTTCCAAAATATACTAGCAGCTCACACAACTCAATACAAGAAAAACAAACAACCCAATCAAAAAGTGGGAAAAAGACCTAAACAGACATTTCTCCAAAGAAGACATACAGATGGCTAACAAACACATGAAAAGATGCTCAACATCACTCATTATTAGAGAAATGCAAATCAAAACTACAATGAGATATCACCTCACACCAATCAGAATGGCCTTCATCAAATGTCTACAAACAGTAAATGCTGGAGAGGGTGTGGAGAAAAAGGAACCCTCTTACACTGTTGGTGGGAATGTAAATTGATACAGCTACTATGCAAGACAGTTTGGAGATTCCTTAAAAAACTAGGAATAAAACCACCATCAGTTCAGCTCAGTTCAGTTGTTCAGTCGTGTCCGACTCTTTGCGACTCCATGAATTGCAGCACGCCAGGCCTCCCTGTCCATCACCAATTCCCAGAGTTTACTCAGACTCACGTTCATCGAGTCAGTGATGCCATCCAGCCATCTCATCCTCTGTCGTCCCCTTCTCCTCCTGCCCCCAATCCCTCCCAGCATCAGGGTCTTTTCCAATGAGTCAGCTCTTCACATGAGGTGGTCAGAGTATTGGAGTTTCAGCTTCAGCATCAGTCCTTCCAGTGAACACCCAGGACTGATCTCCTTTAGGATGGACTGGTTGGATCTCCTTGCAGTCCAAGAGACTCTCAAGAGTCTTCTCCAACACCACAGTTCAAAAGCATCAATTCTTCAGTGCTCAGCTTTCTTCACAGTCCAACTCTCACATCCATACATGACCACTGGAAAAACCATAGCCTTGACTAGACAGTGACCCAGCAGTCCCACTCCTAAGCCCTGAGGAAATCAAAATTGAAAAGGACACATGTATCCCATTGTTCACTGCAGCACTATTTACAACAGCTAAAACATGGAAGCTACCTAGATGTCCATTGACAGATGAATGGATAAGAAGTTATGGTGCATATACACAATGGAATATTACTCAGCCATAGAAAGGAATGCATTTGAGTCAGTGCTAAATGAGGTGGATGAACCTAGAGCCTATTATACAGAGTGAAGTAAGTCAGAAAGGGAAAGATATATATTGTATTCTAACACATATATATGAAATCTGGGAAAATGGTACTGAAAAATTTATTTTCAGGGCAACAGGGAGAAACAGACATACAGAATACACTTAGGGACATGAGGAGAGGGGAGGAGAGGGTGAAATGTATGGAAAGAGTAACATGGAAACTTGCATTACCATATGTAAAATATATAGCCAACAGGGATTTGCTGTATGGCTCAGGAAACTCAAACAATGACTCTGTATCAACCTAGGGGGTGGGATGGGGTGGGAGATGGGAGGGAGGTTCTAAAGGGAGGGGATGTATGTATACCTATGGCTGATTCATGTTGAGGTTTGACAGAGAACAGCAAAATTCTATAAAGCAATTATCCTTCAACAAAAAATATTTAAATTTAAAATCTCAACTGCATGAGAAATGGGATAGCATTTAAAAAAAAAAATCTAGCTACTATAGTCAATTCTCTCTGAAGAAACATGTAAACACCTTATGATATTTTAGTTTATCACCTGCTGTGTAGATATACTTGATTTCCCATGGTATGTCTTTTCAATTCTTTTCATAATATTTACTTAGTCATCATCTTTCTATATTTTCTTCCAGAAGTGATTTAAAAATTTTTTTCTGAAGGTAATAGACCCCAGATGAATACTTACATGCATTCAAAACATCAATCATGTTAACTGCATATAAACACATAATCAATTAAATTGACCATTCACACTTGTCCAAACTAGTCTCAAAGCTGGCTTGAAAAATTAGAGTGATTATGCTACACTTGAGTTATTTCAGTCACATAAATCACTCCTGAATTTCAAGTAGAGTTAGCAGGAGTTTTTCTTTCTTTCATCTATTTTTCTCCAAAAATATTTTGACTGTCTCATTTTCTGGAGTTGTATTTCAAGCAGATTTTTCTGCTTCACAGATTTGGATTTGTCCTTAAACCCAAGTGGGGAGGTGACCAAGCAGATTGGCGATGCTCTGCCTGTGTCATGCACAATATCTGCCAGTAGGAATGCAACTGTGGTGTGGATGAAAGTAAGTAGTATTCTTGGTAATGTTCTTCTTTTGGACTGACTCCTTTTAGGCTTCTCTTGTATATTCATGTGTAATATGTTTATACATGCAAACTCATACTCTCTTTTTATATATATATAATAATAATAAATAGACTACAATAAAATTTAGAGGCACTCAGTATCACTATGGCATCCATAATTGTTGCTCTGAAACTTTGTTTGGGGCATTAATTTAACTATGTGTGTTTACTAAGTAATTATAGACATATACGCATGCATATGGACACACACGCATATACAGTTATATATTTTAGGGGTTAACAATTTCCAGTGTGTTTTAAGCCATAATGTTCTTAACAGGGTGTTTATAACAACCCTGTGAAATATGCAGGAAAATGGTTAGTTCCATACATTATTTGAAAGAACTTGAAGTGAAAGAAATCAGAGAGCTCATAGGTGACAGAGCAGAGGCTCAAGCTCAGGCCTTACCCAGCATAAACACCACGCTTTAGTCACATAACCTTCTGCCTTTCAGTTGAGACTGACCTTAAGTGTCTGAATGTGGGTTCCATGAATTAGTGGCTCCTTGATGGTAGCAATCTCTTGTCACCCCGGGCTGTGGTAGAACACCTGGAACATACTAGGAGCTTAGTCTGTATTTCCTGAGTGCTTCAGTTCAATTTAGTTTGGCCGCTCAGTCGTGTCTGACTCTTTGCGACCCCCTTGGATTGCAGCACACCAGGCCTCCCTGTCCATCACCAACTCCCAGAGCTTGCTCAAACTCATATCCATCGAGTCAGTGATGCTGTCTAACCATTTCATCCTCTGTCATCCCTTTCTCCTCCTGCCTTCAATCTTTCCCAGCATCAGGGTCTTTTCCAATGAGTCCTTCACAGGTGGCCAAAGTATTGGAGCTTCAGCTTCAGCATCAGTCCTTCCAATGAATATTCATGACTGATTTCCTTTACAATTGACTGGTTGGATCTCCATGTAGTCCAAGGGACCCTCAAGAGTCTTCTCCAACACCACAGTTCAAAAGCGTCAATTCTTCAGTGCTCAGCTTTCTTTATGGTCCAACTCTCACATCTATACATGACTACTAGCTTTGACTAGATGGACCTTTGTCAGCAAAGTATTATTAAAAACTTATTATTATTACTAAAGACATATTAAAAAGTCTCTGCTTTTTAATATGCTGTCCTGAGTGCTTATGTTCTTGTTATCATCTGAAATATAGGTTGTTATCTGGGAACCCAAGCATTGCTGTTATCTTTTTCAGCAAAGTATTTGTCAGCAAACCTTTGTCAGCAAAGTATTATTAAAGACTTATTATTATTATTATTAAAGACATATTTAAAAGTCTATGCTTTTTAATATGCTGTCCTGAGTGCTTATGTTCTTATTATAATCTGAAATGTAGGTTATTATCTGGAGACCCAACCATTGCTGTTATCTTTTTAGAGTGAGATTGGTAGCATTGGAAATTGGTGACTTGAGATAAGGTTATTAACAAAAGTTATCAACAAAGGTAAGGTTATCATCAGGACTTCCCTGGTGGCTCAGATGGTAAGCGGCTGCCTACAATGTGGGAGACCTGGGTTTGATCCCTGTGTCAGGAAGATCCCTTGGGGAAGGAAATGGCAACCCACTCCAGTGCTCTTGCCTGGAAAATCTCATGGATGGAGGAGCCTGGTAGGCTATAGTCCATGGGGTCACAAAGAGTCGGACACAACTGAGCGACTTCACATTGACTTTCTTTCTTTATCAACAAAGGGAAAGGTTGTTACTAGGTTCCCTCCACTCAAATCCTTAACTAGTATATCTAAACACCCAGTCTGTTTATTCCTGTAATGTGACATGTAGCAGAAGCACTTCATCAGTAATGAGTTGACAAAACACATCAAACCACTTAAAATAGGGGTTGACAAGAATTATGTTTGTAAAAAGTTGTGGGAAATGTACTGCTCCAGTTTCTTTTAGATGAAAATGTAAATTATTTTCTATTGGTTTTTTATCTCTTTTTCATGCCAGATCCTCTGTTACTTGTTATCTTAACTCTTAAAACTCAGTTTATTATTTTGTTTTCTCTTAAACACAGCCCATCACAACATTTTATTTGCTCACATAGTTAAAATGTCACTCCATAGACTGAATACTTAACATGATGTGTTATGGCAGTTAATGGTCAAGGGGCTTGATAGGTTTTTGGTATATGAACTCTCATGGTGTTTTTACTCAGAACTAGAGAAGCTAAGTTTACTTGGTTAAACCAGTTTCCTCATAAGCTGCAGTCACTGTTTTCGATTGAATAACTCATATCAGTAGTGCTGATCAATATTGCCTGGCTATTGGTTAGTTGATGGAAATGGAAAAAAAAAATTATAGTGTACAAAGACCATGTAATCTTAAGATTGTGTTTAGTTGCCTTAGGAGCATTTCAATTCCTGGCAAATAGCACTATTTTCGAAGTTAAATGTTGCATTTCCTCTGTTCACAGAAATTTTAGTATAGTAAGCCATTTAAAATTTTTCTTTAAAACACATTTTTGTCTTAATTGTTCTGTAATAAATTCCGTCTTGATAATTGTCTTTAATATGGTAAGATTACTACCCTATTTACAAGCAAGGAAGCTGAATCTCAGAAGTTTATGAATTTGTTCCAAATATAAATTCAGTAAATGGAAGAGTCTGAAATAAAACTCTGATTTGTCTAACTCTAAAAGTACAGAGGAAAAAGGAAATCTATTTGTGAAAGCATTTGAAGTTAAGAAAAGAAGTTTTCATTTTCATTAGGCCCAGAAGAATAATTTCAATCTTTATTACTATATAATAAATACATGGAGAGTTATAATTGTGCCATGTGACATAATTAACTTTTTACTTAATCAGGATAACATCAAGCTTCGATCTAGCCCATCATTTTCTAGTCTCCATTACCAGGATGCTGGAAACTATGTCTGTGAAACTGCTCTGCAAGAGGTTGAAGGATTAAAGAAAAGAGAGTCGTTGACTCTGATTGTAGAAGGTAATAAAATACATGAGCACCAATTCAGAATTTTCTTTGAGAATTTAATCTGTTTCTTTTATGATCTCAGTTCAACATCTTATTTTAATTGTAATATTTTTAGGAAAACCTCAAATCAAAATGACAAAGAAAACTGACCCTAGTGGACTGTCTAAAACAATAATCTGCCATGTGGAAGGTTTTCCAAAGCCAGCTATACAGTGGACAATTACTGGCAGTGGAAGTGTCATAAATCAAGCAAGTATTTGTCTTCTTGTTGTGTGCTGTACTTGGTCCAGTGTGTGGTTTTATTTAGGTACCTAAACTGTAATCTAACTTATTATCAACACGAAATTCACAGTATGTCCTCAGAGGAAGCTTTTGCTAACTTCTTAATTTTCCCAAAGGAAGACCATAGCTCAAAGAGAAATTTAAAATCCTAGGGTCATGGAGTATGGAAGATTTACTTTGTTGTGGTCAGTATCTGGACAAATTGAGAGTAGTATTGACATATGTATATGACCATGTATAAAATAGATAGCTCATGGGAAGCATACGGTGCTCTGTGATGACCTAGAGGGGTGTCATAGGTGGGAGGAAGCCTCAAGTGGGGGGATATATGTATGCTTATGGCTGATTCACATTGTTGTACCACAGCAACCAACACAGCATTGTAAATCAATTATCCTCCAATTAAAAATAAATTTTAAAAATATATAAATTAGGTAATATCCCATGGTCACTAATTCCTGAAATTTGGGTGATTAAAACATTAAGGTATATATTTATCTACATCCTGAACTTCCACCTCTTAGTATAAGTGACCTCACTTACATTTCGCTTACTTCTATGCACATTATGGGTTATTTCTTCTTGATATTCTACCCTGGGGAATGGTGAAGAACATAGTCACTGTGAACATATGGTCTGATCTGTGTGTACTGGGGCCAAAGTAAGGCTAGCTAAATATATAGTATCTAGGATGATTTTTGCTGAACAGACGTGTATGTAAACCAAGCAGTAATATTTGTACCTTTGTCGCACCGTTTTAGTTTGCAGTAGTAAAAGGCCAAGAATGTATGAACACTACCAGTAATTTTCTCTTTGACAAAAAAGTATGAGAATCCAGCTTATCACACACTGTTCAGAGCTGTAGCCCCATTAAGCTGCCAGCGTGGGTCACTGACATACTGGGTAACCCCATTCTCTCTGCGGCGGTCTCCATGTCCCCTCCTCAGTGGGGCCTCTGAGGGGTTCCTCAGGAGTACCCACATGAGCCACTTGATTGTCTGGGTCATCTGCGTTGCCTCTTTCCCAGCTTTCGACTCTGTTGAAATCTGAGAAGGCATGCATAAACCAGAATTGTAATTTACAGTGTCCACTCTTTCTCTGTCTATTGAAGGTGGGCTACTGGTCCAACTTATGTAGTCTAGTTTTGCAGAACATGGTGAATTTTAGCTCTTTCAACTATGGGTGATGCATGTTTATTTGCATAACTCAAGTATGGAATGTCCCTAAAGGAGTGGACACAAGCAAGTGCTTACTGACTTGGTTATATGTGATGGGACACACAAGTAAGAGAACTTGCCTGAGGATGACAAAGAGGCTCTTGATTTAAGAATAAAGACCTGAATTGCTGACAATGTTTAGATCTCTTTTTTAGCATCAAAAATGACTGTTTCTATTCTACTCTATTCTTTTTTTTTGCTCTCTAGTTCAATTTAATAATAATTACAGCAAAAAGACCTTTTCTTTCTGTGTAATGCAAACATAAAAAATAAAAAAATTATCAGATAAGTGCTTAATGAAGAAAAAGATACAAAGACTTAAAAGGTCAACCTAGAAATAAGCAAATGCATTTTGTAGAGATAAAAATAATAAAAATTTTAAAAGTCATATGAGAAAAGTCCAGTGAGAAAGTCATATGAAAAATACTAGTGGGAATTGGAAAAAATAGCAGGTGAACTTACTATGAGGATAAAAGTAATAATTCCATTCTTCATTGTCAAGGAGAAGGATTGATTCTGGCCCACTAGGTGATATGTTATTTTTCTTGTCCTAGGCTTGTGCTGATCCAGCCATAATTTTTTTATTTGTTCCCTCCTCCATCATATGGTGAATCTATTATTTTACAACTACTGGTACCTCTGTCCCACCCCTATCCCAGGGACCCCACGCTATCTCTAATCATGAAGCTCTCTCCTGTCCTCAAGGCCTTTACAATGCAGTTGAGGAGGAAGCAAATATAGAGCAATAGAGGACTAGCGGACGTGGTGTGTATAATATGTCTCAGAAAACAATGCAAGTACTTGCCTGCTTTAGTGGAGTTGGACTGAGAATCCTCTTACGGAAGAGAGTAGTGTGGATTGTCTCTTATGTTTGAAGAAATTAAATAGCAGTGGTTAGCCTCATCACCAGTCACTGAAAAAGAACCCATCCTCTGTATTTAACTCAATAAAATTGAGAGAGAGAGAGAGTCTGGTTTTCCCATGAGAAAACCATAGATACATATGCACGTACGTATCATGGTTTAAAATAAAAGAATTCAGTATTGTAGTGGAGGGGAATGACAGTTTTGTTGTTTAGTCGACAAGTCATGTCCAACTCTTTTGCAGACTGTAGTCCACCAGGCTCCTCTGTCCTTGAGATTGCCCATGCAAGAATATAGGCAAGAATACTGGAGTGGGTTGCCATTTCCTTCTCCATGGGATCGTCCTGATCCAGGGGTTGAACCCACATTTCCTGCATACATCTCCTGCTTTCCAGGCAGATTCTTTACTGCGGAGCTACCAGGGAAGCCCTAAACATAGGCGAGCAACTCCCCAACTTAAGGCATCACCCATCACCCTGGGATGAAGGGTCCCATGCTCTGCTAACTGAGGACATAGTTTACAAATAGAATTAAACTCATACATTTATTAGGAGAAAACTGCCGATGAGTTAATCACTAATTAATTATTTTGAGATAGGTACTATCATGCCAAAATATAGACTAACTTGAGACATCTATTGAAAAAGAAGAGCTTAGTTAGTTTAATTATTTAAATTAATAATAGAAACATAAAGAGAAATCCAAGTATGGATTCACTATTCTTTTTCCTCTCTGATGTAGTTAGAAACCTGACCTGGTCTCATCTATGAACTTACAAATACCCTTGCATGCCAGATAATGCCGCAGAGCACCACACCTATCTTGTTCCATTCAGTGTTACCCTTTCCTATGTTTTTAATTCATTTCCATTTCTTTTTTTTTTCCTTTATTTTTATTAGTTGGAGGCTAATTACTTCACAACATTGCAGTAGGTTTTGTCATACATTGACATGAATCAGCCATGGAGTTACATGTATTCTAAAGCCATTTTCCTTTTCTTTTTCCAGACAGAGGAATCTCCATATATCAATGGCAGGTATTATAGTAAAATTATCATTTCCCCTGAAGAGAATGTTACATTAACTTGCACAGCAGAAAACCAGCTGGAGAGAACAGTAAACTCCTTGAATGTCTCTGCTAGTGAGTATTTCATTTCTGGCATTAAAAAAAGTAAGAAAATTTGAAGTTATTCTTCATTAGTTTAAAATCTTCAATTCCATCTTCCTGTACTGCATTATGGTAAGTTTTATTTATTTTACATTTGGTATCATCATCATAAGATTCTTTTTTTTTTTCCTGGTGTCCATTCTTTACAATCCTTGTCTCGACAGTCAAATCATTTCATGTTTTATGGATCAGAGACTTTATCTTGTACAGGAATATTTCCAAGATCAACAGAGAATAAGGACCGTGTTGCTCTTATTTAATCCATGTTTTGTGTTCAGAGTACAGATGATTCAAAGATTACCTGAAAACATTTCTCTAACAGTTTTAAATTTGGTAAATTTTAATTCCCTTTAATCTATTATTTTGCATTTCAATTCTTTGTGGTATTTATCCTATTCTTATTTTGCAAAGGAATGCCACATGCTTAAAGTCATTCAGCAAATTGGTAGTAAAACTGGTATCAGGAATCCAAAAGTTTAGTTTCAAAAATTGATGCATTTGAATATCATATTTGAATCATAGGTTAAAAATCAAACAAATGAGATAATCTCAGAGAAAGTGAAAAAAATCTGTCAATGCTGAAATCAAGGTAATGGATACATACCAATATCTGCTTCTTTATTTAATTTGAAGTTATCTGTCATCTTCGATTCTATAATTCTTTATTTTGCTGTGTTAGTCTTAAATCAGGGCTGGCCTAGATTGAGACTCAGATCTGGACAGGATACTAACTGACTCTCCAAACTGTCATTCCTCAGTCAGTTGGAACCCTTTATGTGATTTTAGCAAGATAGAGATATACTGGCTAGGAATTAGCTGAAGCTAGGAGAAAATAATTTTCTAAAGATAATGGCCCTTAACAGAATATGACTGGAGCATAAAAGCCTTTTGGGTTGACAGGAGAAAAGAATCAAATGAATTTAACTCTAAAATAGGAGCATTGACTTATCTGAATTCAGTTCAGTGAGTATTGATCTGTCCTGCCTAAAAGAGAAGTTATCCTTGCTTCCTGAACACAAGTCTCTCTTTTTAATTCTAACCCATTAACTGGTGGCTTTATAGACCTTGCAGTGGTTTTATCAACATTTAATACCATCATTTTCAAAGTCAATGAGCACCTCCTAAAATTCCAGTATAGTAGGTATGAGGAGGGTCTGGGAATCTGCATTTTAACAATCATCACTGAAAGTTCTGATGCAAGCCATAAATAAAAATATTTATTTAGTCTGATATTAAATGATAATCCACCACAGTGACAATCCCTTAAGTGGGCCAAGATCATAGTGCTATTAGTAATTTGGAGGGCTTTTACAAGCATCACGTATATTGCACCTTCACCTCTGAGATGTCCCCAGTTTTAACCACCACCCCTACCACTTTGAAAATGTCTCTAAGTGGCAAATCTCTGACACTAGAGTATGAAAATAAATTCTCCTCCACTGAGGCAGGAAAATTGAAGTTGAGAAACACTACTCTGTAGATTCCATGCATTGCAACTTGTTTCTCCTAAAAATAAAAATCCTATTAAAAGGTGGTAGATAGTGGGAAAGTTAATGTGGATTTCAGATTAATACTATAGCTTGTCAGTTGTGAAGTTTTCTATGGTAGATCAATACCTCTGCAGTTTTATCTACTGTCTTTTCTTTAAAACAAGATGAATTTCTTTGTATGGAAGTTCACGCTTTATTAAACGTAAATTTTTCTACCCTCAACTGTAGATATTTTATCTTTGAGAATTATTACATCATACTATAATGGTAAAGGTGACTTTCATATATCAACAAATTTTGTTTTTAATTTCATATTAACATTTTTCATTTCAGTAAGTATTCCAGAACACGATGAGGCAGACGAGATAAGTGGTAGGTACTATGCTGCCGGCTCTTCTTCCTTGACTATCTGCTCAAGATTTATGAAGTGACATTGCATAAGTAATTTCCCTAGCTGCCACATTTTGATTTGAGTTAAAATAGCAAATGAGACAAGATAGTAAGAATGTTAAAATTTTAATCCTTTAGAAGCACAAGTTTGCATGTTACTCTTACTAGTGAGCCTTGGTCATTTTTAATCAGAAATAATAACTAGATTGACTTCTTTTCAGAAATGCTTGGCATTGTCTGTAATTGCATGGGCTTTTCTTCTTTGTTGTAGATGAAAACAAAGAAAAGGTTAATGACCAGGCAAAACTAATTGTGGGAATTGTTGTTGGTCTCCTCCTCGCTGCCCTAGTTGCCGGTGTAGTCTATTGGCTATACATGAAGAAATCAAAGTAAGTTGAAGAAAAAAGATCATTGCTCATTGACTTTCACAGGGAGAAAATTCAATGTGTTCATTATGTTTATCTCAGCTGAGCATGTAAACTTCTCTAAGAGGAAGGACATAGTGCCCACAGTCAGGTTGATGATGCTTTGCCTTCAGCTCACCGTGGCGACATGACCAACGCTGGGGCCATGGCTTGGAGTGATTTCACATGTGTCCCCTTGTTTTTCTCAGTCAGTAGTTGAATTGAATTATCTTATTTTTCTCAATAGGTAGATTTTTAAAAAGCACATAGTCCCTAGGAGTCAGCCATTCTGAACTGTTTGACTGAGGTTTGTGGACATTAATTAAAAGTGGTTAGTACATCCCATGGGGACATCGGGTGTCTTTACAGTGACAGGTCTGGCCAGCAGTGAAATTGTTGGTGAGGTCAAGCCGTCTTGCTGTCACTACTCCTCTTAGATTCTAGTTAGGTCACTTTGTTTCATAGGAGGATCTAATTCAGGGAAAAAGTCATCATTATGTTGTGTTGAATTTTTAAAAAAATGATTAAAGTAATAAGATAACTTTAAAAATGACTAAATGGTGTTTAGATTAAAGATTATTAGAATGATACAATAATACATATAGAGTCAACCTCACAAATCATCTAATGATGTTTTATAATGAAAATCCAGTTAACAGTTGTTTTTCAGTCACCAAATTGTGTCCAGCTCTTTGGACCCCATGGACTGCAGCATGCCAGGCTTCCCTGTCCTTCACTATCTCTGGAGTTTGCTCAAACTCAGGTCCATTGAGTCAGCAATGCCATTCAACCATCTCATTCTCTGTTGTGCTTCTCCTGCCCTTAATCTTTCCAAGCATCAGGTTCTTTTCCAGTGAGTTGGCTCTTTGCATCAAGTGGCCCAGTTGGAGCTTTAGCTTCAGCTTCAGCATCAGATCCTTTCAGTGAATGTTCAGGGTTGATGTCCTTTAGGATTGACCAGTTTAATCTCCTTGCAGTCTAAAGGACTCTCAAGAGTCTTTGCCAACACCACAGTTCAAAAGCATCAATTCTTCAGCTCTCAACCTTCTTTGTGATCCAACTGTCCCATCTGTACATGACTATTGGAAAAGCTGTAGCTTTGACTATACAGACCTTTGTTGGCAAAGTGATACCTCTGCTTTTTAATATGCTGTGTAGGTTTGTCATAGCTTTGCTTCCAAGGAGCCAGCGTCTTTTAACTTCATGGTTGCAGTCACCATCCACAGTGATTTTGGAATCCAAGAAAATAAAATCTATCACTGTTTCCACTTTTTCCTCTTCTATTTGCCACAGGGTGATGGGACCAGATGCCATGATCTTAGTTTTCTGAATATTGAGTTTTAAGCCAGCTTTTTTACTCCTTTCACCCTTAACAGTGAAAATTCTTAACATACACACATGCCTAGCACTCCTCAACTCTGACCAACTCTGACCCTAGATTCAGATGCAATTGGGCAGAGATGGGGTTCTTGTATTGCATTTTATAAAAATTCCATTCATGATTCTATGGCATACCCTTGGTTTCAATCATGGGTTTCAAACCCCTGTATCTTATAAATGAGGAAAATTAAGTTTACAAGGGAATATGTATAGCTTGTGGCAACTTTGGACTTTATTTTGTTTATTCTTGATGTTTTGATATAACCCCTATCAACAACTCAGGTTGAGTTAACTTAAAATCAAAAGAAAAAACAGACTCAATCAGATCCATGATTCTACTCTTTACAGATACAAATTTCAGTGAAGTATTATTTGAACGGATCTACCATCAAAGGAAGGTAGTAGCTTAGAACTTTTAAACTCACATAATATGAGCATGAACTGAGTTCTTCCTTGTTCTCACAGTCCATCTCTGAAGTAGATAATCTTATTATACATATTTCACTTTGGAAAAAAACTAAGGCAGAGAATGGTTATAAGGCTTGCTTAAGATCATACAGTTGTAAGGGACAGAATTATGTTTTATTTAAGGCAGTAGTGTTTTAGAATCTTTGTGTTTAATTCCTGGGTCTTATTTTCTCTCATTACGCCTTACTTTCTCTCTCTTCAGAGAGGCAGAAACACATTCCTTTTGTGTATTATAGTTGATATGCATGTCCACTCTCACACTAGGGCTAGTGTGAGCCACTGCTAGTCTTGGCACTTCAGCCCTCTGTCTTAAACAGTCCACACTATCACTTGATAACAAATGTGGGTTTTTTCCTCAGTGAACATTTTACCTACAAACTCTTCATTGTTGCTTTGTACCCATGGTTTCTATGGAAAGTGTAGAAGACTGTCTGTACCATGTAGAAGAAAGGAAATTCAGTTTCCCAGAGGCGGTATCTATCTTATTAGAAATTCTCCTTCTATGTGTCTAACTTTCCTGACTATCAAAATCTTATCCTTCCTTTATAATCTACAATGAGGTTTTCACAAATCTAACAACTTGGCCTCTAAAGTATTTTGGTTTTATTTATTTAGGGTTTCTGAAAGTAATTTTTATTTAGGGCACTTCAAAGTAATTTTACTTCTTAAAGAATAAAAATAAAATGTCTCTGTATCCTGGAATTACATCTGTAATCCTCTGTATCCTGAAAAATAAACAGCAGTCTTCTACATTATGATCAAATGAATGTGAAATTCATGGCACTCCCCAGTGTCCTTAATCATCATACTCTGATTGCCAGTATTTCATCATATCCTATTTTGTCTTTCTATGAATAGGAAAAAAAAAAATTGTGTGTGGAGGGCAGGGAGATTGTTCTTTTTTAAGTTATGTCATTGGATATTACCATATGATAACCCAGAATTAAAACCATGGGTAAATAAATGCTGGACATTTAGCTTCATAGTGTCTTTAGTTTAAGGATTAAGACTGCATGCATTTCTTTTGAAGTACTTCATTTAATTAAGTGCTTATTTTACCATCTGACTTGAACATTTGTCTAAATAATTTTTATTAATTGAAAAGTGCACCAACTTTGCTAGAGTCAATATTATTGGTAATCAGAATAATAAATTGCAATTTTTACCCCAAGCATCAAAGTGTTTTTATTAAGACTTTGCAGAACTCTTCAGATTTGCTAAGTGCTTCACATTTGTGCTCACTCAGTCGTATCCGACTCTTTGTGACTCCATGGGCTGTAGCCTGCCAGCCTCCTCTATCCTTGGGGTTTTCCAGGCAAGAATACTGGAGTGGGTGCCATTTCCTTCTCCTAGAAAGTGCTTCACATTCCTGACTAGCTATTCTTTTAACTGCCCTCTGAGATAAGCAAGCATTTTTGCTGTATGAGTTATTGTTAATACTTATGCCCAGAGTAAGTGTGGATTCATGGCAAGAGCTTTCAGGTTAAGAATTCTTAGATCTGTTTTTGGGTCCACAGTACCCCCTTTTCTTCCTTTTCTTCTAGGTAATCTCACCTTTACAAGTCAATATGAGAGTTTCATATCTATGTTTAGCTTAATTCATCACCATTTTATATGGATATGAGAGAATTTAATAATAAAGATATGGTTCAGACTTTTTTCTCAGATACTTAAAGAAAAATGCCCCTGTGATTACCCTCCTGTGAAATGATACCATCAACAGTCTTAGTGAGTCACCCACTATTGCAAACAACTTATAGCAACAATTATATTTGTTCTTTGCATTGGCAATTTAACATCAGTGGAGAAAGAAATGAGAAAAACAATCTTTCATGCCCAAGTAGAATTTGAGTACAGCATACCTAGTGACTACTCAAAAGACAGGAACCCCCCACTCCATTCATATGAGATACATATTTTTACATCTATTTTAAATATGGAAAACTGCAGCAGAAAATGCTTAGCAGTTGTGTGTGACATTGTGATATGGTATGTTCATTGTATAATAAGGATTCGTGCTTCCTCTACTGTTTTGATTCATACAACTTCTTACTGGAAATTTTTTTTTTAATTTGAGGTATTTTGATAGTGAGACTGGATGACTCATCATTTCCTATGCATGCAGGGTACTAACTGTCATTTCCAGGCAAAAGGTATTAACTGACTAAACCCAGTTCATATCTAGCTGTTTAACGAGTGAAAAAAGTGAAAATATTAGTCATTCAGTCATGTTCAACTCTTTGCAACCCCATGAACTGTAGCCCACCAGGCTGACTTGTCCATGGACTTCTCCAGGCAAGAATACTGGAGTGGGTAGCCATTCCCTTCTCCAAGGGATTTTCCTGACCCAGAGATTGAACTCCAGTCTCCTGCATTGCAGACAGATTCTTTACCATCTGAGCCATGTTTAACAGGAAACATGGAAACATAAAGACCTAGACCTAGAGATAATTCAAAGACTTTTAAAACTATTTACTCCATTTCACTCCATCATGTTCTCTGAACATTGTTTTTATATCTGGAGGAAGTTAAATGTTACTTTTTGAGTTCTAATTTCTCTCCTGCATTTTTTATAGTACAAGAACTACTGAAAAATTGAGAGTCAGAGACAAAGGAAAAAATGTAAGGCAGCATGATGTAGCCACAAGCTTATTCAGAAGTGTATTAAAACCATAATTTCCTGATTGGTTGCATTTAAGAGACCCCTGACCACCATACTTCTTATCACTAAACTAAAAGTAAGCATCAACCAGACATTTATAATGTCAAAATACATGTTGTGTGGATCTTGGAAATTTGCCAAGAGATTTATCTTTTATAACTGTGGAACTCATGACTATTTTCATGAAGTTTTTGTACAATATGAGGACAATATGGAAGTCTAGAAATCACAAATATTATTTGTCAGTTCTGCCTTATATAATGCTTTACTATTCTACTACTGTCTTAGGGAAAAAAACAGACAGTCCTAAATTGGCAAAAGACTAAAGAAGACTAGTTGCTGCTGCTAAGTCACTTCAGTCGTGTCCGACTCTGTGTGACCCCATAGATAGCAGCCCACCAGGCTCCCCCATCCCTGGGATTCTCCAGGCAAGAACACTGGAGTGGGTTGCCATTTCCTTCTCCAATGCATGAAA